TTGCTGAAACACTCTGTCGCCTATTTTGAAATATGATCACCGTTGTTTTGCAGGGAAAAAAAACAGTCAAGTATCTCTAAAATCAGATTCAACCAACAGCAAAAAGATAACAGTCTATTATTTTGTGGGTAGAAGGTGGTTGAAAGATAAATATTGATCAGGAGAGTTTTCTTCCAATTACCATTGATTCTAATTTTGCAAATGCCACACCTAGACAAGTGATGTCAAGGACAGTCACTTTCACCCCACTGAGACATGAGAAATTAAAAGTTGCTTTTCAGTAAAATCTGAATTGTTCAAAGAATGAAAACTACTAGGCATGACATGGTCAACTCCCTCCACAACAATCTGAAATTGCTGATTGTTACAAAGTTGGGTAGAGTATTCATGAATTGGAAAGCAGAAAGTTAGAATGATTGGTGAAAAAAATAATGATAGTGGGGGAAAAGAGTGCCTGGTCCCTTTAAGAGATTGTGCTTTGTCTGTTCTTGGAAGTTTACAAGTATTGTGCATAGAGAATGCCTGAATTGAAACAGTTTGTATCAAACAGCCAAGCAGCATTTTTACCAAGGCAACAAGTTTGAATTTGGCCAATAAATTTAAACCAACCCTGATGGTATTGACAACATCAAACCAATCCCACATAAGAAATACCATTATGTCATTACAGGTATAAAGACAAGGGCATTTGGAAAGTTGGGAGAGAGCCAACTGCCATCTGAGGGGAAAGCCAAACTTCAGCTGCAGCGAAAGCAAGTCCACCATCTGAGATACAAACCTGGCTTTCACATTAAATTATTGAGCTCTCTGAAAAGACCCATCAAAGGTACCATGGCATTTTAGCACAAAGTCCTCACTGAAGAAATTGAAGAGAAAAAACATCCAAGACAGCAGAATCAGTGGAAGAAAGGCATTTGTAACATGAAGTCAGCAAAAGGAAGATTGGAGATAAAGCAGAGAAGACATAGACTGTATGAACTTGGAGAGATTAAGTTTAATTTATTGCTTTTTATTAACTGGGTTTGTACAAGTGGGACTTGTGTTTATTTGAACAGCGTTCCAGTAGAATTTAGACCAGTTAGGAAGTAGTCAGTAGTCTGGGGGGAATTGTTCAGAGTGTTAGTAATTTGTTCACTGTTAGGGTTACACAAATAAATTGTTTCTCATTATTTGTAAATTGGAAATCAGGGATTTTCTTTCTTTTAACCACTCTTTTAACAGATTATGAGGGGAAAGGCGAGCTTCTCTGGATGTTTTGGGTAGTTATTAGAAGGGAACTTCTACTCCTGTCATAACAGGTTGGGGCTTGTGTTTTGGTTTAACTAGCAGAGAGGTTCGGCCATTCCCCCTCTGTAACACTGGTAAAGGTTACACATAAGCAAAAGCTATTCCTGAAGGTCCCTAGGGTAACAGCTGATATTAGGCTGCAATGCTGGTTCAGATAAATAAAACTGCAAGAAAGTGCAAAGCCACTCACCCATCTCCAATGAGCCTTACCATTTGACAGAATGCAATATCTTGACAAAATACATTGACTAATGAGACTGTAACTCAGCCCTTGGCTCTCAAGAATAAATTTACATGAAAATTCTTGGAAATTGAATGGGTAATCTAATCACAATGGGAACGCCCTCTAACCTAATCTGGGATAATATTTAGGGAATGTCCACTATTGACTGAATGACAATCTTCCACATCAATTAAAAACATCATTAGAAAAGTCTCAACATAATCTAAATGATGAGCTTGCTCTGACAAGTGGCAAGTGGCAAATAACATTCGTGCCACACAACTGCCAGGCAATAACCACTTCCAACAAGGGAGAATCTAACCTTGGTCCCCAGACATTCCATGGTATCACTGCCACAAAATCCCCCAAAAGCACCATTCTGCAGTTACCATTGATCAGAAACTGAACTGGACCAGCCATAAAAATATGGTGGCAACAAGAGCAGGTCAGATTTGAGGAATCACGCAACGAGTAATTCACCTCCTGACTCCTCAGTGACTGTCCACCATCTACAAGGCTCAAGTCAGGAATGTAATGGAATACTCCCCATTTTCCTGGATGAGTACAAATCCAATAACTCTCAAAAAGCTCAGCACCAACCCAGGTCAAAGCCGCCCACTTGCTTTGTATCACATGCACAAAAATTCACTCCCTCCATCCCTGAGACTTAGTAGCAGCAGTGTGTACCATGTACAAGGGCCAACGCAGAAATTCACCACAGCTCCTTAGACAGCACCTTTCAAACACACAGTCACTACCATCTAGAAGGACAAGGGCAGCAGATACATGGGAACACCACCACCTGAAAGTTCCCCTTCAAGTCACTCACCATCCTGGAAATATATCTCTGTTCTTTCTCTGTTTCTCAGTCAAAATCCTGGTATTCCCTCTCTAATGGAGTTGGGGCTGTACTGAGGCCAAAGAGAATGCAGCGGTTCAATTGGCAGTTCACTACCACTTTCTCGAATGGGAACAAGGGATGGGCAATAAATGCTGATGAAGCCAGTTAAGCCCACATCCTCTGAATAAATGAAAATAAAAGTCAGTCCCATATATTTTAGCCATTATTCCTTCAGAAGTTGAATTGGTAGCACTTCAGTACTATGAACTAAATATTGAAGGAGGACTGTTCACGTCACTTGATAATTTACTCTAAACCACCATTTCTGCAAGTTGATTCTCAGGCTCAAACTAAATGCAAGGGAGATCATAATGGCAAACCACATTAGTACTACAAACCTCAGCAAAAGTGTTTCTGTTCATTTTGATTCCTTACACTGATTCATTATCCATGGAAGGGCTGGGGAAAATCAGCCATGTTGCCTCTCGTTCACCATTAAGTGCACTCTGTTAGAAACGCAAGTATGTGGGATTTGAGATGAAACAAGAGTTCAAATTATTTGCAATAGTATCACATTGCTGGCCCCAATTTTCAAAGATGACACATCTGACAAAGCAGTATTTCTTGGTACTGCACTGAAGTGTCAGCTTGGCATACTTTCAAAGCACTGGTGGAGTGTCACATTCACAACCTTTTGATATAGAAGGGAGGCTGATTCTAAGTGTGTCAAATGAACAATCTGAAAATGTACAAACTCCACTTATTAAGATTATAGCAGACAGTATTAGAAATACAGAGATAAGGAACCTCCTGAAAGATGGTTGGCTTGGAGATCTCATAGTTAGTACCTATTTAAAGAGTATATGAAATTTCCCTATTATTCTTCATTGTTATTTATTATTAGTGAATACCAAATATACCATAGTCAGAAAAGAAAGAGAAATTAAGACAGTTTCTGCAGCCGTCTTTTATTTTGCTTGATGGTTGTCAACAGAATGCCTTTTTCGATGAATAATCTGTAAGATATATTCCCTTCCAGGATCTTTTACAACATGCACTCCAAAATAAATAATGGCTAAGTCTTGTTGAAACATATTAAATGAAGGAGCACAGAGGAATTAGAAACAATGACTGTATTTATTTTCATAATAACTTTTAAATTAATCGAGATATACCAATACATTTACGTCAGCCACATACACAGTATGAACAGTATGACATAAACACCAAGAACGCAAATGATGCCACTTTCCCATATGATATGCAAAATCTGCATCATATTTTAATGCAAATACTGAAATCAAAAAGTCAAAATCTTAACACATTCAACTAATTATTACCTCATGTTTCCAGACACAATCGGAAAATAATCAAAACAAAGTAACCATTTGAGTTAGAAATAGACACAACTCAACATATGTGCAAAGGCACAACTTTAGTACGTGCAAATTTGCAGTTTAGCTCTGTTGGTTAACAAAGGAGAGTGTTTTGAGAAAAGTATACAAACTAATGGAACCTATGTGCCACAAGTCAATAAATAAAGACTTTCATTTATACAGTACCTTTTGTAATCACACATGTCCCAAAGTGCTTTTTGACCAGTTCAGTACTTTTGAAGAATGGTCACTATTATAAAGTAGGAAATGTGGCAATCAATTGGAACACAGCTAGGTCAGATAAAAAGGCAAGAGATGGTGGCCAGACAATCTGCTTTGTTGTTGATGACTGAAGGATAAATATTACCTAAAATGCCAGGGATAGCTCCTCTGCTCTTCTTGAAGCTTTCATGTGCATGTGAGCCTTAATTTTTCTGAGAAGGACACCTCCAACACTTCTTATGCACTGGACCAGAACAGCAGCATAGACTTTTACACTCAAATCTCTGCAGTGGAACTTCAGCCCACACTCTCTGACTGAAAGGTGAATATCCTACCAACTAAGGCATCCCTGCTGTTTGGTACTCGACAGGTGGTAAATTCTTGCGTTATGTAACCACAACTAATTGATTCCCTGTTCGGTGAATCAGGCAACTTAAAATGATGGATACTGTAAAGCATATTTATAAATCTATTTATAGAGATAGCAAGGTGTAGAGCTGGATGAACACAGCAGGCCAAGCAGCATCAGAGGAGCAGGAAAGCTGACGTTTCAGGTCTACACCCTTCTTCAGAAAATGCAAAGTTATTTTGCGTCTTGATCTTCTAAACCAAGATCATTTCTC